GGAACCCATCAGTCTCCCCTCCTGGGACCTACAGCGAGATGATCACCAGGTCGAAGCGCACCAATACCTTGCAAGGGCAGATCCAGATCTGCTGGTGATCGCCTGGCCATGTACTGAGTGGTCAATGCTCAATGAATATGGTCGCAAGGATGCTGAAGCTTGGAGGCGATTGGGAGTGAGAAGACAAAGAGCTCGAAAACTTTTGAAGTTTGTGCGAAAGGCGGCAAGAGACCAGAGAAGGAGGGGTGGCGCCCTACTGGGAGAAAATCCTGCCACTTCTCGGGCATGGCAGGAACCTGCAATTGTTGAAGCCTTCGAAGGGATGCCTGAAGTAGTCACAGACATGTGTTGCTACGGTCTGAAGAAGCCGCACGAGCACACTCCAGAGGGTCAGCCTCTGTTTTTGAGGAAAAGGACTCGTTTGCGAGGAACCGAGGAGATCCTCGACCGATGTGATGCCAAGTGCCAAGGAGGGCACCAACACACACCTGTGCTAGGAGGTGTGAAGATTGATGGACGATGGAAGCCTCTCTCCGATTTTGCCGGAGGATACACCAAGAAATTTGCAGAGAAGGTCATCCAAGGAGCAGAAGAATACCTACAAAGAGGTAGAAAGCAAGAAGTTTACGTGCAGGAAGAAGACATTCCAGAAGAACGTTTTGAAGTACAAGAAGATGAAATGCTGGAAGATCAAGAGCTTGAAGCACAAACGAAGGAAGAAGAGATGAAGCTAAGGAAAAATGACCAACTGCACATGTTGCACCGGCGTCTTGGCCACCCTTCAAATGAGGTCCTCTCAAGAATGTTGAGATTGGCAGGCGCAGACCAAGTGGTTGGTCGATGAAGCTGCCATGTTGAAGTGTGACACCTGTGGCTCGGCACCAATTCCACGAAGACCAATGAGCCAAAGAAGTGATTTGAGGCCAACCGTATTCAATGATACGGTGGCAATCGACCTCAAGTTCGTGAAGGATTGCAAGGACCAAAAGTACGTGGCCTTGAGTATGATTGACCTAGCCACAAACTATCACCAAGCCACACTGCTGAGAAGTCGCAACCCTCCTCACGTAGCAAGAAAATTTTTGGTGAAATGGATTGGGATGTTCGGCGTTCCCAATCAACTCACTTTAGACCAAGGAGGCGAATGGGAAGCAGAGTTCATTCTTCTGCTTGAACAGCATGCCATTGGAACCAAGTTCACTGGCTCCCATGCAGCCTGGCAGCTGGGACACGCTGAGCGCCACGGTGCTCTTTTGGGCATCGCATGGGGAGCTTTGATTTTCGAGCATGAGGTGACTGACCGCGAAGGGATGAAGATGACTCTAGCTTGTGCGGTTCAGGCCAAGAACCAGGTCGTCACTCGTAGAGGCTATTGTGCCAATACCCTTGTTTTTGGGCGGCAAAACCTCTTGCCTGACCTACTTGACGACGATCCTGTGTCAGCTACGACACTCGGTCAGGCACTTAGCACAGAGACAGAGGTGGCACGACAGGCTGAGATGAGAGCATTAGCAAAACGTTCACTCCTTCACCAGGAAGCTCAAGACAAGCTCAAGCGAGCTCTGAGTCGGAAACCAGGAGGCCAAATTCGAGAGTTTTTGCCCGGTGAGAAAGTTTTCTTTTGGGTGCCTCGCGTGAGAAAAGGGAGATATCGACATGATCCTGGAGAATGGCGAGGACCAGCGATGATCATCGTGAAGGAGTCTCATGAGAAATATTTTGTCTCATGGCGAGGCAGGTGCTTGTTGTTAGCAGCTGCGAATCTGAGAGGCTCAACGATTGAAGAAAACTCTGAGGTCAATATGGAAGAGCTCCGGGAGTTGGAAGACAAATGGCAAGAAGGGAGCCAGACTTTCGAGGACATGAGCGAAGTGTGCAAGGAACTTCCTGAAAGAGAAGAAGATAAGAGTTGGGAGGCGCAAGAAGGACTTCTCCGTTTCGGTAAGAAGAATGGCCGGAGCAAGAGAGAGGCAGTCCAGATGATGAAGGGACTGAAGAGTGTGAAAAAGCTGGTGTTGAGCAAGATTGGAAAGACCCGCAGAAGCAAACCAATCCCAAGAAGAAAGCACCAGGTGAAAAAGAGAGAAGTGCCACAAGAGAAAGTCATCTCAGAGATCGATGATGAGGAGTATACTCCCACCATAGCGCCGGGGCCAGAAGCTGAGGAAGATGATGAACCCTTTTGGAAGGAAGTGGCCGCGCAAGAAGAAGCTTACAAGAAGGAAGATGAAGAAAGAATGAGAGAGAACGAAGTAAGAAGGAAGAAGCTCTTGGATGATGTTCCCCTGTGTCTGAAGCGGAAGAGCCCAGAGGAACCAATGCTGGAACGAGAGCTAAAGGTGCCTAGAAACCTCTTTCAACAGATGGAGGTGATGGTCTCAGAACAGGAGATGACAGGTCGTCTGAAGAACAAGGTGGCGCCTCTCAAAAACCAAAAGTCAGCCCAGAATCAATGGTTGCCTCGAAGTGAGGTTCGGCAGCTGGGACGGCTTCTCGACCTGCCGGTGAGTGCAGCAAGACTTCATCGTGCTCCAAGGAAACAGCTGCAAAAGGTTCCAGAGGGGAAGAAAAGAAGACGCATCACTATGATGTTACTTGAAGAGCCTGGACAGGCGATGTTGGTGGATGAGTCAGTTCAGGACATGCAACGGCCTCGAAAGCGCTGTTCTGCACCATGGAGGGGCATGACAGTTTTTGTGAAACCAGAAAATGACATGAAGGCCGTAGAAGAGAAACAAGCAGAAAGTGAAATGAAGAGTGCATATGTGCAGATTGAAGAAGATGAGGTGTATGAGGTTTCGCTCAGAAGCAAAGAAGATGTGAAGCTCTGGGCGGAGTTGGTAGAGAAAGAAGAAGACTGGCAAGTCTACAAGGAAGTGCTTCTTTTAAAGTTGAAAGCTTCCGGAAAGGAGCTGGACCCAAGATGGTTCAACGAAGAGGAAGCAAAGAAATTTCAGGACTCCGATTTGGTTGAATGGGAAGCATGGTTGAAGAATGGTGTGATCAAGAGATTAACCCCAGAAGAGTCAGCAGCGGTTCCGAGATCTCAGATTTTTCGGGTGCCATTAAGGGTCGTTCGAGTAAATAAATCAAAGGATCCCAAGATTCTCCAGGCCAAGAGTCGGATTGTGATTCCGGGTCACACTGACCCAGCCATTGGGGAGTATCGCACCGATAGCCCTACAACCACTCCCACGGCTGTGAGACTGATGAAGAGTCTCTGTGTGACCTTGCACTGGAGTTGTTGGGTGTTCGATGTGGCAACAGCATTCTTAAGTGGCCGCCATACGGACCGCTTGGTGTACGTTCGTGCACCTCCCGAGGGTTTGCCAGCCACGGCCACTTCCGAGGCCGTTCGTCCGCTTGAGTTGATGCGTGTGGTCAAGTCAGCCTACGGGTTGGCAGAGGCTCCAAGACTATGGTATCTTCGTGCCGTTGAGCTTCTGACTGAAGTGGGTATGCAGGAAGTCCCCTTTTGTCGGAGCACATTCATAGCCAAGGACAGTGACGGCGTTTTTGCCTTGTGTGGTCTACATGTAGACGATGGTTTCCTTACCGGTGACCCCAGAAACCCGAAGTTTGAGGCATTGAGAAAAGGGATTGATAAGGTCTTCAACATCAAGGCTTGGGAGGCTGTGGATGAGAAAGGTGTGAGCTATCTGGGTATGAAGGTGAAGCACGATGTCAAGAAGAATGTCATCATTGATGATATGTCGGAATACGTCTTGAAGATTGAGCCCATGACGGTTCCACCAGATTCCAACCATCGTTTGGTTGGAAAAGAACTCACCGCCTTCCGACAGTTGATCATGAAGATGAGATGGCCTGCTCAACATGTGTTTCCTGAATACATGTTCAGGATTTCCTTTTTGGCCCAACGTGTCTCTACTGCAGTGGCATCAGATGCCAAGGAAGCCAATCTTTTGTTGAAGGAGATGCATGATGCAGCACGGGCAGGTGAAGCACAGTTGACCTTTCGTGAACTGTCAGGTGAACCAGTTTTTGTCACCTACTTCGACGCAGCTTTAGGCAAGAAAGATGGAACTGCACAATCAGGAGAACTTCATCTCCTGACAGATGGAGAAGTTTTGAGCACCAGTCGCAATTCGAATGTTTTGGAATTCCATTCCAACAAGATTGCTCGTGTTGTTCGCAGTAGCATGGCCGCCGAGAGTTGTGCTTTGACCAGGGGAGCCGACCATCAATTGTTTAACAGACTTTTGTATGAGGCTCTCAGGTTCGGAACGATCGAGGTCAGTGCACAATGGCGTGAACGCCTGCGAGTGCCAGGAATTCTGGTGACCGATGCTAAGGCACTGTACGATCACTGTGGTGCCACCGGCCATCTGGCTCAGGAAAGGCAAACAGCCATTGATCTTTTGATGTGTAAGCAGATGATTGAACAGAAGCTGTTGATTTTGAGGTGGGTGCCGACATTTAAACAACTGGCAGATAGCCTCACGAAAAACATGAAGGATGTTCTTTTGAAAGCGCTGAAGCGAGACGGTCGGATTTGTTTGATTTCAACGGAGGCGGATCTTAAGGAAGAAGAACGCTGTTCGGCAATTCGAAAGGGGCAGCGTGAACGAAGAGCTGCCCGAGCCCGATCTGTGCAACAACTTCCTTTTGGGATATGAAACTTTCAGTCTTTTTGCATTAGCATTGCACAGATCGCTGTACCGAGCTTAGAAACGGTCGACCGCAGGTGACGTCACTCGAGTATGCAAAACAGCTTTGCATTGCTTCGCTTTTGCTTGTGCCGCTTTCTTGGAAACCCTGTTCACTGGGGTGGTTGCTTTCGCATTTTGCTACTTGGTCCTAGCGTTTTCGATTGGTTAAACACCTGTAAGGATATAGAGGGGCACCCCAAACAGAAGTCATGTCATGTAAGTGTCGAGTTATCTGAGTCAAGGTTGCCAAAAGCCTCAGAAAGCCAAAACGGCCGCGCAAGGGTCGTTTGTTGGTTCAGTCGATTTCAAGGACAGCCTTAACTGCACAAGTCAAGAAACTGACAAGTGCCCCGCAGGTGCCTCTAAAGCATGCAGTTGGAGCTCATGGTACAAGGCACAGGCCTTCAGACACAGAGTCAAGCATAGGCAAAGCAGCGTCGGATCCACCCCCCAAAGAGGGGCTTGTGTTGCTTCAATCCTTCGAACTGTCTATCACGCGAGGCGCGCGGAGGCGTTCGCCTGGCTGGAGCTTCGCACAGCCTGCATCAAACAAAATAAGAAACCAAATGCTTGCACTTTCTGAAATAGAGCGAGGTCATTTGGAATCAGAGGTGTCCCGTTCCTGCCTCATTCAAGTCATTGTTGAGACCAGCAGCAGCTGCCACAAAGTGCAGAGCCTGTGCAAACTGTAGAAGCAACACTTTCTTACTCCAAGCTCGAGTCGTGCAGGCTGCTAGGGGATTCAGTGATATACAAAGAAGTTTGATGCTTTGTGTAGGCTTGTGCAACCCCTTGTTTCAGGCGCCTTGGCTTCACCTCTTTTGTCAGCCAACTGCCGATAGGCCTTTCACAGATTTGAGGATTGAGACATTGGTTCTTGCGAGATGAACTTTCGTTGGAAATGGTGGTGTAGCTTTCATCCGTCTGCTGCTCTACCCTCTAACCAATTGTGCAGCAGCCTCCACAGCGGCACGGGCTGCGCGCATCATGTGATCGCCTTTCTGCGCATGCTCGTAGCTCTGGGCCTTGGAACTTCCGCGTCAATGTCAAAATGAAGCCAGGTTCCTGCATCAATTGCTCTCTTGTGGGCACTTGCCTGAATGAGTCCCAATTCTGAAACGTACGAATGGTAATCATTTCACGGTGTGTTTCCACTACCTGCCACAAGCCCCCGCTGAAGTCCAAGTTGCCAAAAGCAATAGTTTACATCCATTGATGCTCAACCGAGGGTGGATAGGTCACACGCAGCACAGAAAAGAGAGTTTGCAAAGAGCTTTCGAATAGCTTTTTGAGGGCACGGCCAGGGTTACAAGTCCATGGGCCTGGAACAATTCAGGTTTGCACGTTGCATCACTCATTCATTGTCATAAGGCCGAACGTGCTTTTGCAAAGCGGGAGCTTCTCATGTCACATAGCTGCACAGTTGCTTCTCGCCTTCAGGGGCTTATTGTGAAGTGGCTGTACCTGAGCAACTTGGTCTACCCACAAGTTTCAAGTGAGCGGCCAGGCATCAAGGGCAAATGTGGATCTGTCCGTCTGTGGCAGTCTTGAGGCCCTGTCCAATGCCAGGGCAGCTTTGGCCATGGAAATCACCTGCAGACCGGTCAACCTCGTGAACTGCGGATATTCCCGACAATGTCTGGCATCTACAAAGCCAAAGCTCTTCATGTTTTCCAGACTTCATCGGACAATTATATAGATATATATATATATAACTATGTATAAACACAGTAACCCAAACCTCATGCCCTTGTCTGCAACTGTACCTCCTTTGGCTTCACTGCTTGAAGCATCTTGAGCTCAACCAAGGACATCATCATTGCAGCCTCCAAGATGCGTGGAGCAAAAACGTGCACGCTGCTCGGAATGGCAATCCTGCCTCTCCAAGTTTGTTGCCATTGTTGCGGCACCTCTCCAGCTCCTCGCAAACTGAAAGCATTGAAGGATGATCTAGAAAGTCTTCTGTGCCACAGCACACTCAGCCTAGCCATTAAAGTCCAGCCAACGACTTTTTTGAGCTGTGCAAGCATCAAATCGATGGTTGATGCTGTACAAAGCTAATTTTCCCAAAATCTTGGGACGGTGGGCAACAAATCAATCCCAAATTGGTAGAGCAGCGGCCGCCCAATGATGAAATATGATGCAAAAACTGAGAAAACATATAGAAAGAGCCAAGCACCAATGATCTGCAGTCGCGCACTGAGAAGGCCAGGCCCTAATGGTCCAGTCTCTGCCTTGCCGCCAGCACGACATGCTTGCAGTAGCTCTTGTGCTTCGTCCCGCCTGCACAAGAAGCTTGCACAAGCAGCTTACAGCATCTATTGTTCCAAGCAGATTCAATGTGAAGGACTTGTTCATCCCAGCCTGGTTATCAAATATGTGCCACCAGTAAAAGCATTGAAGACAGAGTCGATGGCACGATCGCTTGTGGCCCCTCTTCCTCGCATTCGCTGTCTGAAATCCTCGCGGTCAAGGCTGCCAGCAGCAGAGGGCCAAATGGCATTCAAGTCGCAAAGTTCAACCGCCTCCAACGTGGTTTGCGTCGTCGGGGTTATATGCGTTTGAAAAAGCATTCGATTCATATCGATTAAAGTTGTGTCAAGAATGATCTTTGGACGAAGGCTCCAAGGTCTTGATGGTGGTAGCTTGCATAATGCAGCTGTTGCCAATAATCAGGAATAAAAGGATTATACTATATTTATATAGCAAAAACAGTTCAGTTGCTCAAAAATTATGCTGACCATTTCCAAGAACTATATATACATATATAGTTACTGTAAGTCACCAAACGGCCTTGCCTGTTTGGTCTGTTCATCTGGAACTGTGATGTCCAATGCCCACGTCAAAGGGTCATAGCTATAGCCACCTTCAGCGCCTTGCGCTCGTCGCAGCAGGTGGGCTCCCCGTGTAGCTTCGGCGGGCTGACCTGTGAAGTTCAGCCAGCTCTCTTTGGTAAAGATGGCGAAGACTGCCAGGATGGCGAAGGTCAGAAGGCCGCAGCGTCTTACCATGAGCTATGGTCGCAATGGAAATGGCTTTCCACCTGTATATACTGAGTTTCAAGCTGCGAATGCACAAGATTTGCCATATGTCATCCAAACCCAGAATCTCCCCCAATCGCTGTCAAGCCATCCATGCATGCTCTACTTGTGACTTGTGAGCTGCCAAAAAGGAAGCTACAGCCAAAGCTTATATATATATATAGGCGTGCCATTAGTGGCAACATCGACATGTCTTTGGTAGTGTTGGACTCTTGTGTAGGCAGTCCTCAGAAGCTCGAATGTAGGCTGCTTCCAACTCTTCCCGACCCTGGCTCAACTGGTCTAAACTGGAGATGGAAATCTCTTCTTGCCAAACAAGAATGGATTTCACTGCTGCCGTCACTGCCATGGTCCTGATAGGCGCTGATGATGCATCTCAATGATCTGGCAATGCCCCCCCTGCGTGCAACACAAAATGCAATAAAGTAATTATGTCAATCAGCGTGGATAATGGTGTGAACCATTTCCATCTGCCACAGCCACAGCTGGGCAAACTTGATATGCCATTGGAACACTTTGTTTCCTACAGCTGCCTTTTCCAAACTCAAGCCGTTCGCAAGCCTGTCGCCAATCTCCCGAAACAAATGCAAGGCATCTGAGGCAGCCTCAGGAGCTCGTTTCGGGTCCTTATTTCGCCACTTACCCGACAAGTCTGTGCTAGCTCTCAGACCCTGACCCTTTCAGCTGCCTTGGCAAGGACAGCCAACAATGGATCGTACATGAAATGCAAGAATCAAAGACAAATCCCGGGCCTGAAATGCCTCTTCATCGATTGCTTCCTCCGCTTCGTTCAGTAGACCTGTGGCCTTCAAGAGTCTGAGAAGAGATCCCATTGGGCCCGGACCCGTCGCAACGGAATGCAAGGTTCTTCGATGAAGCTTCTCCCACCCTCCCTCGCTGTAGCTTATTCTTGTTCCTACTAGCAATGCCAGGAGCCCCTAGTAGCGTCCTTGCTCCTAGTAGTAAGGCCAGGAGCCCCTAGTAGCTTCTTGTTCCTATGGCTATGCTGCCCCAAAAATGTGGTAGCTTGACTGCTGCTGGTGGTTCACACGTTCCCCACCTGCAAGCTAAGCCGCTCCCTGCTCTCGTCCAGGAAGTCTGGCTCACGCGTGACATCCTGGGCCCGTATGAAACGTTGTAGAACACTGAGGCAACAGTTGTAAAGCATCAGGTTACTTCCAGCACCAAGGGCATGGCATCCGCCAAGTCACACAAGGAGATGTTGCGCTTGACAACCTTTCCGTCTGGAAAAGAAAAAACACCCCTTTATGGTACTGATGGGAAATACAGATCTTTGCTGCAGTTTTGACAAAAGAAATTACATGTGCGCGTAAAAATTGAGTGTATCATCTGAAGCCACGTCTAGGCCTTTTCACAGCATATTTGTCTCTGCATTTGATCATTGTTGAGAAACAAAAAATATCCACTCCACAAACAAATGACTCTTAGACTGGAAGTGATAGTGTGGGCAAGGTGCCTTCTCTGCGGTGCGAGGGGAACGCAATGGTCGCGGAGATGCGAAGGGAGAATTTGAGCGAGGGGCCATGACGACTCAAAGCCTGGCTCGTCCAACATGGTACTAGAAGCGTCAAAAACATACTAAAAGCGTTATTGTTACCAGTAGTAATGGCCTCCAACCTAGTAGTTTCTTGTTGCTAAGAAGCTTCAAAGACATACTAAAAGTTTCTTGTTACTACAGGTGCAACGATTCCAAGGAAGCTTCTAGTTCTTGGAAAGCTGTATTTTTACTAAGAAGGTTCGAAGACATACTAAATAGCAAAAACATGCAAAAACCATTTCAACATACCCGATGCCTACCACATTTGGCCACTTTCATGCAATCCAAATACAAATGCGTATGCTTGGGGAGGCTATGAGTTGGTTTCTTTACACCCCCTATGTGTATGTCTATGTGAGCCATCCACTATGATGGTTCAACCTCCTAAAATCCACACATGTCACATGTCCATCGCTTCGTGGATGCCCATGTCCATTGCAACCGTTGCCCAACTCGCAGCCTGCAACTCAGCCACTGGACATGATAGGTGGTACCATCTAGACAAACACCACCGCAAGCTGAGCCCATCTGCGGATGAAAACATGCCACGATAGCGGAGCTCAAACTAAAACAACAACTACTACTACTATTATTACTACTACTGCTATTGCTACTCTACCACCACCACCACCACCACCACCACCACCAAGACTACTACTACTACTACTACTCCTACTGCTACTACTCCTACTGCTACTACTACTACTGCTACTACTCCTACTACTCGTACTACTGCTACTACTCCTACTACTCCTACTCCTACTCCTACTCCTATTACTACTGCTACTACTACTACTGCTGCTACTTACTACTGCTGCTACTACTACTCCTCCTGCCCCTACCACTACAACTACCACTACCACTACCACCACCACAACCACCACCACCACCACGACGACGACGACCACCACCACCACCACCACGACGACCACCACCACCACGACGACCACCACCACGACGACGACCACCACCACGACGACGACCACCACCACCACCACCACCACCACCACCACGACCACCACTACCACCACTACTACCACTACCACCACTACCACCACTACCACCACTACCAATACCACCACCACCACCACCACCACCACCACTACCACTACGACTACGACTACTACGACTACTACTACTACTACTTCTTCTTCTTCTACTACTAGTTCTACTTCTACTGCTACTGCTACTGCTACTGCTACCACTATGACTACGACCACTACCACTACCACTACCACTACCACTACCACTACGACTACTACTGCTACTACTACTGCTACTACTAGTACTACTACTACTACTACCACTACTACTACTGCTCCTACTCCTACTCCCACTCCTACTCCTACTCCTCTTCCTCCTCCTGCTGCTGCTGCTCCCACTGCTCCTACCACTACTGCTGCCACTGCTGCTTCCACCACTACTACTACTACTCCTCCTCCTCCTCCTACTACTACTACTACCACTCCCACTCCTACTACTACTACTACGACGACGACGACGACTACTGCTGCCGCTACTCCTACTACTACTACTACTACTACTACTACTACTAGTACTAGTACTACTACGAGTACCACCACTAGTACTACTGGTAGGACTGCTACTAGGAATAGTACCAGGCCTGACTCGCTGTTTAGGTGGGAGTCGTATGATTCAAACCCCTCAATCGTTTGCTAGGGGTGTGTTTACAGATCAAGACCCTACATTACTCAAACAAAATTGATCCTCCCTCCAAGACCCTTCAGACCTTGAGGCTACTGCAGCAAGGGGAGCAAACTTCTGCCCCAGAGAACCTGGTGGTGTTCACTCCTCTTCTTTTTTGTCCAGAAGACCGGTACTGTAGCTGCATACAAAGTATTGACAAACCTTTACAGTATATATATATATATATTTGGGAAAACCTCTGTCTGTCGCACTACTGTGAGTTTCAAGCAACCCAATGCGAATCAACGGCCCAGCAAGAGCACGTCAACCTGTACTATTAGCGACTCTATTCCAGTCTTTGATGCCTCTACTGGTCTGCCTTTCAAGCCAACAAGACCCGTCACTGTCCCTCTTCACACCATGTCTCAACTCTTTTCTCGGTATGTCAACTGTGCTTTGAGGGAGCTGTCCTTCGCAACGGAAGGACAAGGCCTTGAGACAGCGGAAAACAGTGCTCTTGGTCCATTCTGCAAGAGACCATGATTTCCAGCCCCAGGCGTTCAGCAACAGTTTCCTCAAATGCCTCTTGGGAAAACCGATCACCTTGGCGGGAGAAGAACATGCTGCAGCATACAGTCTTGTCTGGCCTTCAACCCTCAACCTTTGGCTCTACGAGAAAGACAAGTTTACACTGCACTTGTTAAAGCGTTCTTGGAGCTTGACGCACTGCTTCTCTTGCAGCTTTGGCCATGTCGAGTCGCTGTTCTGCGCCTTTGAGCATGTGCAATGTGAAAGTATGCATGTTTCAGAAAGCACAGCACAAATGGCATTCCAAGCTATTACTAAGCCTATTACTTGCATTGAGAAAATTACTGCCACAGTGTGACTGCCAATCTGCGTCTCGGGACACATTTTGTTGGGACTTGGGACATTCATTCTTCTAAGACCGTGTGGCTGCTTGAAGTATCAAGTTATACAATTCTCGCATGCGAAGCATTCTACACAAAACATGCAACCTACTTTGCACCTCAGAAAATGGTGAACCTTGTGAAGAATCTGGGCAATGCATCATGGGCACCACACTCATCTGATCAAGGGTCTCTACGAGCTTCTTCGCATAGTCTTCATCATCCTGTCTCTGTGGCAACCACACCATACTCTTCATGACTTTGCTGCTCGCTACTTTCTGGCTCTGAAGTTCACTTAGGCACCCACGTTTGCCAACAACCCTGTCATTCTACCATCTGGCAGTGGTGTGACCTGTGCAAAGGAGCCGGCATAGTGTCTATTGCGCTTATCTGGCGATATGGAGTGCACACTCTAGTCAGGCCATGACTATGTCCATCGAAGGCCCCGCAGAGTTGTGAGCAATGACCTCAAGTACCACAACCAAGGAACAAACTCACGCACACCTTGCCAGCAAACATGCCAGCAAAAAGGGCCCACGCAACAGCACCAGCAGCCATAAACTCCACCACGCTAATGCCAAAGTGCTCATCCCGCATTGTATGCAATCCTGGTACGAGCCCGTGCAACTCCCAAAAGGGAGGGACGGGATTGGTGCAAACAGCCAGAAAGTGTGAATATTGGGGTGCCAGCACCTACATCAGCTTGAGACAGAAGCGCTTGCATCTCCTGGTTTCCATAACAACCCGTAAACGAAACTGTGGCCAGGACAAGCACAGTTCAAGCTCCTTGAGTGGAACGTTCGTGCGGAAGCTTACCTTGATCTTTTCGGCTTCTCTCTTTGGCAAGTCCGAAAATGTGAAACATTGCACATTTGCCCATATGTTACAGAATGTGTTAAGTTTGATCTAGCCGCTCGTTCAATTCAAGATTCAATTCGTTCTCTTTCCGAGGCTTCGACGTCCCAATCCTGGGTTACACCTTGCTGGCGCAAACCTAGCCTGAGTGACCAACACGGAGAGGAGGGCCATGAGGTTCCCAAAAACCAAAACCGCAAAATTACCCTACTGGATTGAGCAGGGTAGGATACTTTGATCTAAAAGTCTGGCAGGGGAACCACGAAAACACAACCTCGTAGAGCTGAGTGCAGGGTCACCCCCTTTGCAAGGAGAACTCAAGGCAGCCATTCTGCGCGATATCTTGTATGATCTTGATGATATACACTGGGTGTAAGTTCATCCGTCCACCACGCCACATCCCAATTCCACCTAATTCTGTGCAAGTGTCTCCGCACAAAGCTTCTGCAATGCTTCAACACGTGCCCGGTCTCCATCATCTCTGCCTCTTGATGCGGAGTGATTTGGCAGAGGCGGTCAAGAAAAGGCTGCCAACCCCTAGCCTGCCAAAATCAAATCCAAACTGCAAAGCTGGAGCAAAGCCTAAGGCCAGCACATCCACCCGCAAGCACCAATCGGGCTTGGTTATTCTCGCCTGGACTGAAACATCGCAGGTCATGGAAGAAAGTCATAATGAACCTGCAAACTTGAAGTATTAGATGGCTCCTAAAAGCACTTTACTTGAACATAGTTGAGTGCGTACATTCTCAGCTTACGTCAACATCATGACTGGTCACTCTGCCCGTATAGCTTTGCAGCAAAACATTGCCAAGCAAGTTCCAGCTTATCCGTTTTGCAGTTCAGATCATGTTGAGAAGCTGCTGCGACTTTTCGCACGTGCTCTGCGTCGCACCATCCGAAGTCCGCATCTGAAGATATCTCGAGAAGGAGCGCAGCCTGCACAAGGCTCGGCCGTGAGAGAATCGTTTCAAGCGGAATGTCACCAACAGCCCCGCGAAACAACATGAATCAAGACTTTAAATTCTACATCCACGGTTCAAGACCCCAGCTTCTCAAGAGACAAACAGGACAAAACAAACCTAGTGAAACTTCCAAGGGCCAGATCCTCCAACTATACTAGAGCTGAGAGGCCAGCTGCAGCGCATGGTTCTTTTCAGGTCTGAACCTGTTGGGGGAGTCAGGCGGACGGGGGGAGGGAGAGAGAGAGAGAGAGGGTGTGTGTGTGTGTGTTCTAGTACGAGAACTAAGAACGGTGTCACGATGTTGCAGTTCAGAACAGTACTTCATGCAAAGGATGAAAAAAGCAGCCAAACTCTAGAGAACCGGGCTGCGCCAACGAAAGCACTAGCTTGCCAGGAAAGTCCTCAAGCTCAAGCACCATCGGCCAGCTTCCAGCGGCAGTGTGGCATGCATTCTTCAGTGACCTAGACCTACAGCACTGCAAATCGTCCTTCTTTGCTCGCTCCAGCGGCAAAGCTGTAAGGGCTGCCTCAGTAGGCTAAGTGCTGTTTGTGCCAAGGACCTCCAGAGTAGATGCTGTCCGTGTGCATGTTGACCAGGCATCTATTACATCTACAGTACGCAGAAAAGCAACATGGGCGAATCATACTGGCGAAACCAACCTGCACCTTGACTTAGGACTGCAGCAGTGTCGCAAGGAGGGTAGACCGTGCAAGTACGCTCTGGCCTGAGTCTTTATTTGACGCTCCTGCTGCAACAATGAAACATTGGCACTGCTTCATGTGGAAAACACAATCGCTGGATTGAGCAGCTGGCACTTTCCAAAGCTTTACTATGTGACTTCGGGTCCAGGATGAGTTCACAAGAACCACCTTCCAGGTGCTTTTGACTTGCTCACCCGTGCGATGTGCGCTCGCACACTCACCCACTCACTCACCCACTCACTCACTCTCTCTCTCACTCTATCACTCTCTCACTCTCTCACTCTCTCACTCACTCACTCACTCACTCACTCACTCTCTCTCTCTCTCTATCACTCTCTCACTCTCTCACTCTCTCACACTCACTCACTCACTCACTCACTCACTCACTCACTCTCTCACTCTATCACTCTCCCACTCACACTCACCCACTCTCTCACTCTCTCACTCACTCACTCACTCACTCACTCTCTCACTCTCTCACTCTCTCACTCTCTCACTCTCTCTCTCTCTCACTCTCTCTCTCTCGCACTCACTCACTCACTCACTCTATCACTCTCTCACTCTCACACTCACTGTTTTTTCTCGGCTCTTTTCCATCAAGTCTGCACGACGCCGCGCCAACCAGGCGCGGAAGTTCTTTGCGTGAGCTTCTGGGGGACTTCTATCCGGCCTTTCGGCGCTCGAACTTTGGCAGTGTAAGTGGTCTCAACCTTCTCAAGCTTGCCATTCATGTAGTGGTCCTTGTCACACAGGATGGCACTGATCCGCTCAGCTGCAACTTCATAGACAGCTTGATTGCTTGATGTGTCAAACCTTCCTCCTTCAGGGCTTCAACCAGTTCAGTGGGTGCCTCACGGACTGCTCTGGCTTTTGCACAGTGCCTGGCGTCTAAAAACTACATCCAAGCCCCCATATCTTCTCCTGTGCCACGCAGAAGCTTCGGCGGCACATGCAAAATTTTCAGGCGCTGCCACTCCTCCTCCAGCAAGTTGTGCCACAAATCCGGGGCCGTGGTGCCTTTGGCCCCTTTGTGAAGCGCCGACCAACCAGCTCTGTGAGGAATGTTGACCTGATGCTGTCCAAGGAAGGCCTGAAGGATCATCCAACAGCCCTCTCGTTTCACCTCCTGGTTCAGGTGTTTAAAGCTGTGCAGGTGCCACTGATCTGCCATGACCCATCTCTCCATTGCCCAATGTACTTCTTGAGGCGCACATCACTGTCAATCATACCTCGTGCCTACAGCATGGCATTCTCATTGGCCTGAATGGTTTGCTGCCAGGCTGGTGGAAGTGGCTTCTCATCGTAGCAGCATTCCCAGATCAAGTGCTTCATCGTCACCGGCACCTGGCATAGTGGGCACAAGACTCTGTCTCCGGAGCCATGTGTGCGCAAAGATCCTTGAGTCGATGCATCAATGGCCACCCTGGAGGCTCCCTTGAGCATGATGCCAACTGGGGCCCTCACCCACTCATCCAAAGCCGCTGCATCCCAGCCCATCTCCATGAAGTACACTTGAAGTGCTGCCATCGGCCCTAGCAACTACCATCCAAGGGTGAGCCGCTGCCTGTAATTTTCGCCACGAAATCCTCCAGGCAGGCATCAATTCACCTCTTTGAGCTGGCGGCCAGGCCCGTATGACCTGACGCGTGTTGCCTTGGGGTGAAGCTTGGCCTGTCGGTCAAAGACAATGTCAACATTGCCCCTTGTGAAGGCCAGCGTGGCGGGGCAGTTGAGTCGAAGTCTCTGGGGCGCCAGCCCTTGAGCTTCTATGCCATAGCTGACAGCGGCATGCACAGATGTCTTCCACACACGAATCCTCACTGGCCGGGAGCGAAGTTTGAGGTTGAGCAGCTTGGAGTTTACGACCTTTCAAGAGCCGCGTCTGTTGAGCGCCAATGCGTCTTCTCCTGCCCCCGCTGGAATCCAGGCCAAGATCCTTCAGAAGGTCGCGCGCCTTGGGCTGATCTTCTCGTCGGGCCAAGTTCGGCGCCCGCTTGCACTACAGTGTCAGGAATCCAGTCCAATTCTCCAAACACTCAAACAGTCCCATCTGTTTGACTCATCCCAAGCGCTGGCATCAGATTGCCCTTCTGCCAAACAAGTTTTGCACCAGGACCCCTTCACTGCCAGAAAACCGTCCCCTTTTTCATCAACAACTGTCCGGCTGGCGTTACCCACTCAACTGGGCATCACCATCTGTCTTGCGGCGCTTGGTCAAAGTCTCGGACACATTTCGTTCCAACTCCTTTTGCTGGTCCGAATTGAAAATGATGCCCGCTTGCCCCAGAGCCTTTAGGACATGTTCTGTTGCGTCACTGTCCAAAACATGCTCGTGCCGGGGATGTGGGCACTGCTTCTTCTTTCAGCTGCTTTGCATAGGCCTCAGGTTGATCTCCCAGCTGCTTGTGCTCTTTGTCTATGGTCTATGGCCTCCTGCACTCCCTTGAGCTCATCAAGGAGCAGCTTGTATTGATCTTTCGCCTGATCAACTCTTCTCTGCAATGACTGCTTCTTGGTGGATAACTGCCTCAACTCACCCACTGTGGCCTTGAGCTGCCCTGTCACATCAATGGTGGCCGCTCGGGCTGGTTTGATTAGGCCCACCACCGCATCCTTGACCTCCTTTGGCAGGGAATCCAAATAGGCTTTCAAAACTTCCTCCAACGGCTGAAGCTCCAGCTCCAGTCCAACGCCTTTCAAGGCTGCCTGGCCCTGCTGCCTGGGTTTGCTGACCAATCCGGGCGGTGGTTCCACCTGTACTCGATCTCGTCCATGTGGCCTCCTGACCTTCTTTGAGGGTGATCTTGGCAGCTTCCAGGGGGCGCCTCCTGTAGGCCATGGAGTACTGCATTTGTCACATCTCCACCTGGTGCTGACTCGGTCACACCAGATCCATGAATGTTCACATCCTCCACACACCAGGTAGCTTCTCCTGTTCCGTCTCCGCAGAAACTCCCAGTGCTCCCAGGCTGGAGCCATCATGGCCAACCTCCGAGATGACAAGGACCGCCTCAAACTTGGTCTCTATCACGGGCAATGGTGAAGACACCCTTGGTGATCACCTGGAGGTAGGGGTCACCTAGATCTTCTGGGCCACGTGGGATCTGTCGAAGTGCCACCACAGTCCCGACTTGAGCCCAAATCTTGAGCCACTCACTCACTCACTCACTCTCTCTCTCTCTCTCACTCTCACTCTCAACTCTGCTCTTGTCGTGAGGCACGCCTCGGCAAAGCTCCTCAGCTTGGGTAACATTCCGGCCGCACCACTTGCCATATTTAGCCCTGCTGTGATTAGTCCAAGCCAGTCACCCAGCCAGTCCGTACAGACCAGCAAAGATCTTGTAGTAAAACCTGCGAGCGATGTTAAAAGACATGGCTCCGCCTCAAGCCAAGAGCAAGATTGGGGCTTAGTTGGCCATCCTTGTCAAGACTCGTGTGTTCAATTGTGCCAGGAGTGCAACTTTGCTGCGGACAGCAAAGAGGAACGTGCCACAGTTACGTCATTGCAAACGCCATCGCTTCCTGAAGCACAAACCGCAGGTTAACTCGGCGCCGCAAGGGCGGTCACGCTTTTGGGCAACTGGATTCACAAAATGCTCTCAACCGAACTCTGGCAAGAAGGATCTGCATGCAGCATTCCAACTATCAGCGAGCTGCCAAATAGCTAAGGGGCTAGCTTCTTGTGCGAACCTGGAACACTTTCCAACTCCATATGAGTTTCACGGTGCATTGCCACAAAAAATGCAGCATCCATTGCACATGGGTTCCACCTGCTCCAGCATGTCGGTGGATATTGTCGGGTAATGCACCTCATCTCTTGGAATTGGCGCTTGAGCTACCAGTGAACGCACACTTGCCTAAGCCTGGTGCATAACATCCAACCCGCGAACCAGCCAGAAGACTGAACAAAGGTAGCGTGAAAGCATAACCTGGCTCCAATATTTCTGTCGCACTCTCAATATCCGAATAGGCCCTCTAGGTTTTCCTGAGTGTTCATGCTAGGGTGCACAATGTCTCTTCCGTTCGTCGTAGGACCGTGCTTGAATTTCATCATGAATCATGCCTAAAAGATCCTAAAAGGATCTCAAAGGTTGTACCAAGTGAATATCCAGACACTCTGCTCATCAAACATGACGGCGTGACCCATTGAGTCTATGTAAATATCGGGACGCAACTGGCACAAAGCTTCCCATCCTCAGAACAGCTGTGAGTGCAAGAAATCACCACCCAAATGGCACTCATCTAGGCCGCCTGGCCAACCACTAAAGAACCTAGACCTTGGTTGAACCGAAGCGATCTGCCAAAGGGTCGTCAGGTACAGTCAGACTTTGTGAACTCTGTTTTACCGAAGGGGGCCCCTGCTTTGGCCGATGAGGGTGAAGCGTTTCCTTGCAAATCAGCGATGTGCATCTCCAAGCGGGCGCAAGCTGCGCAAGCTCAGGCACGCGCCAGGACGATGCATCGACCCATCGTCTGGAATGGAGGAAAACAAAGCGAATACCTAGTCCACAATGCACAAAGAGCGTCAAGAATTTCTTACCAGATGTGTTCTGCCAACTGCGCAGCCCTGCAATTACTCAAATTGGCCTGCACTGTTGATGTCCACCCCGAATTGCCTCTTGGCCTGCAAACTCAACATGAACCAACATCAGACCGTTGCAAGTGCCTTGAACCCTTTCGACCTGTGAATCTTCATAAGCGCCTGGCCTGCAACAAGAACTCCGAAGGCGTTACGTCAGTGTCTCCGGTGTACACGACACAAGTCACCTCGTAAGCTATGGTCACAGCGTGTGGCAAGCTTGGTACAGGCAGCATGGGCACTGTTGGATATCTCTGCTGCACAGCGCGGATCGAGCACCTCAGCAACACCCTTGTTCCAAATGTTGTCAAAGTTGTCAAAGGCTTTGAGGCGTCTAGGCCAAGCACCACAAAACGCGCTCACCTCCACCCCCTGCGTGAGCATAAGGATGGAAGAAAGCCTCAAGTGGACCAAGAAACTTCCCACCAATCTCACTGCCGTGACGCGTTCCAGGTAGGCTAGGGACAATGGTCTCTTTTCCTGCCAGCTCCTGGTGTGCCGTGCACTGTGCAACCTGAACGGTGACCTTTCAACTCAAACTCCACCACCCCGCCTTGCCAATGCTCGATTGCGAGGAAGCATAACTGGCTCGGAGTCTCAACCTGATCAAATTCGATCTTCGAACAACGACCCTTGGTTCTTCAACCCCCTGCCAAGAATAGGACAGCAAGACAAGCAGAAATGGCAGTGTGAGGAAGAAGCCTCAAATGCCAATCAAGAGTCTTCCCATATAAGCCAAAGGATCTTCCAAAAGTTTTGGTCAGCACATTAGTGACAAACGACAAAAGCACGTGGAAAATCTACGGCGCCGGCACAAAATATAAAACAGCATGGCTTCGGCTAGGTCATGTGCGCTGTATCGATTCCACTCACTGCTTCCAAGTTGTGGCTGTCAGGGTTCCATGTTAAGATGTCTACAGCATCTACAGTACTACCCACTTTTTTTCAAAGGAGCTTGCAAAGTATTGGCTAGCAGGCTTTACCATCATCCACTTAACAGCTGCATGCCTTAGCCTTAGGTATCTTTGTCGCACAAAGTAGTTTCTAAGCACGTGATTTTGCTTGGAAAGGCAAGGCCTTTCGAAAGGCCGCTTGCTGCACGATCCAAAATAAGGGGCCGGGCGTCCGACAATTACAAAAGCTAAGAACCGCGAGGTTGCAAATCGTTGCTTTCGATTGCTGGAATTACATCACCCTCTGATTTTGAATATGAGGTGTCATGTAGGCGGTGCAAGCTCCAGTTGATTCTGCGGCTTGCACCGGCATCACACAAGCCAATGTTCAGATTGTACAAAGGCCACGTGATCACTGTTCACCTCCAATAAATAGGATCTTCTCAGCCTCAGCCGCCCAACACCACCACTGACTGGCTCCAAGGCGCTTCATTTGCCGTGGGATGACTGACGGGCAACTGTGGTTCCACTCCAACATGACTCAAGGCTCAAGTCATTCTCGATGTCTCCTATTCCCAGGGGCACTAGGAAGAAGCAGGTGGCTGAGAAACCAACGTGCGCTCGTGACAGAGATGCGCACCTGCAAAGCCAGTGCCATATAACATATAAGTGTCACATAATTTGCCTACAGTATACAGTATCGAGAAGCTCTCCATTCACAAAGGGCATATGCAATATCAACTTGCCGACCCCAAGCAAAAAGCGGCAATCCAGGCCAGTTTAACCTGGCCACTGGACTCTCCAGCTTTGACTTCTTTCATGGACTGCCTAAGAAAACAATGCCACAAGTTAATCCCAAGCATGGACACCTGAGCCTTCACTCGCTAAACATCCTGTTCAAACGACTACAAAAAGCCCAGTGACCTTGGATTCATCAATTTGGTAGCGCTGGGGCCAATGCAAAATTATCTGTGCAGCGACCTTGGAATCATTCAAATCCTACGACTTACCTCGGGTGCAAATGTGATTAACTTGAATCATTTTGGCACTGTGACCCAGGCACTAGGAGTGATGTGCTGAACAGACCTGTCACGGCAAACTTGTTCTTCAATAAATGCTAGGCCCTAAGCTTCGAACGATTTCGAACGCATCTTCAGAACATAGCATCAACCCATGTCTTGAGTCTTGTGGATTCTGTTGCAATGGCGTGATCAATCAGCCAACAGTGAACCAATATGAAAATGGGTTGAGGAGTCCCAAAACCTGTCCAAGTTTCTTGGGCGTACTGTTCAAAACTTCGCAAAGGTGAACACGTTACACTCTTCATCAAACTGCCACAAGCTCATGATCTCACCGATCTCCAAGCAGTCCACTGGCACATTCTCAAGCATGCTCGGGTTGGCGCAGTTGCACTCCCCTGCACATTGTTCAATTATATATATATATATACTGTGAGTGTTTGAGTGGCGGGTGCATTGACTGTCGCAGTCGACAAAGCAGCAGAATTAGTTCATTCACATCAGGGCAACCAGAATCAGCACAAAACAGCTCACCACTGACTCACCAGCTCAGCTCCACGGCTGGCCTTCGTGACCACAGCGTCGAAGGCAAACAAAGAGGTCCCCGTATTCTGAGCAGAGCCTCACAAAATACAAAAAAACGGACATCGTGTAGAATGAGAGTGGCATGAACCCATCTCGACATCCTCCAACTCTAGCTACTGTAGTGACTGTGCCTGAAACGCTGATGACAAGCAGCTCCGGATGCCGCTTCAGAAGCGCCTGAAGCGGATTGGAGGGAACAACATGACGTGCCTTCCTTCACTGGCATGGGCGGCATGAGAGGCTGGCCAGTTTGCATGTCGAGTCAAGGCTATCACGCCTGTCTTCTGAGTGATTGCCAAGGTTCCCCTTTTGGACACGCTTTGTTCTAATTATTTGGTCGCCAGGGGCTGCTGAATCAACAGCCTGAAGGTAAGTCCAGGGGCTGGCCTTTTGTCTCACAAGATTGCAACTCTTCAAGAAAAAAGGGACATCCAGCAAAGCTACAGCCTTGCCCATGCCGATGCGCTCAGCAGTGTTTGCCCTGAAACATGACCGTTGCACAAGGTTCAAGCAGCGAAGGACAAATTGGCATGATCACCAAAATCCATAGCCGCACAGCGCACAAGTGGATCAGGTTTTCGCACGGCAACGTGGGGATAGCTGCAGTTTGAAGACAAAGCCCTCTCAGAGCTATCAGCCCAGCGCCTAGGTGCCGAAAGCTGATTGGCAAGTTGGAGAACAGCCGGGTGGGTGCTGCGGGTCAAGATGATGGAGGGAAAATTGTGCTAGAATCATTACAGTATATACTAGAATATGTGTGCAAATCTGCTCTGTCCCCTTGCTGACTGAGGTTGCACCTCTTACGGCAATGTGGTCACCAACCCCATGCCTTTAGGCCGGCATCCTCTTGACAGTCGGCGGAACGGCCCACGGTTTGTGTCCTCGCTTCCCTTCCCTTCCCTTCCTGCCCTGCCCTGCCTGCCCTGTCCTTGCTGTGGCTTGCTATCTTCCTGGCTGGCTGGCTGGCTTGCTTGCTTGCCTGCCTGCTTGCTTGCTTTGTCGCTTGCAATTGCCTTGCTTCCTGGCGTGCTCGCTTGCCTTCGGAATGCTACCTTAATAGCTTGCTTCCTCGTGCTTGACGTGCCAGTAGTGGTCAAAAAGGCGAAGCAAGGAAACAATAGCAGCAACGCGACCCAGGCAGAAAAGCGACGCAGAAGAAATGTAAAGGTGCAAGAAGAGCACAAATAAAGAAAAAATAGGAAACTTGTACATCATATTTTAAAATCTACAAGAAGAAGAGCCGAAAATTGAAAAGCGGAGAATCCAAAAGAAGACAAGAGCAGAGAGGCACGAAAGAGAAGAGCTGAAAGCCAAAGAGCAACAAAGCAAAGAAGTCAAACAAGTGTGCCTCCCTAAAATATTCTCTGATTTTATAAATCATATGCGTTCATTATTTTGCGCTGGCTGAATCAAGGTTCTCGGCCTGAGGTGCTCACACGGCGACGGGCTGCTTCTCGTGCCATAGTTCTGTTCTCAACTTGGTTGTCGAGAATTGCTTGGGCGACCTGAGTCAAGGAAACCTCTGACAGGGGCAGCATCCTACAACACTGAAGCCCTTGAACAAGTTCCAGGCATCCTTCAGGAATGCAGACTTCAGGAGGCTGCGCTCAGTCTGCCAAGGAATTGAAACACCCACAAAGCTGTCAACGATCTCCAAAGCTTATTGCATGGGCCTTTTGAGAAGCTTCCGCGGCATCGACAGTGAGGAGAGACGCTGGCGTTACCGCATCATTCACCTCAAACAACACATTTCAAGTCACTAGGTCATGGGGTCGACGCGCTAAAGATTGCGATCTTCAATGACAGGCTGAGCCAGGAAACAAAAAAATTGCAAATTGTTTACTATGCGCAATTGATGTTATAAGCTCTTCGGAAGTGTCGTGTCGTCATGGTTTTGTGAATCAGGTTTCTCAGGGAGCTGTGCCCATACTATGGACGGGGTAAAAATAGCGCTAGGCTCAGGAGTCGAATGGGAGAAGTAGGGAGACAGTGTGAAGAATTGGTACCAGGAGACCTTGCTGGAATGGCTGATAGGGCTGTTTGTGTCCGAACCAGAGGTGGCACGGTCTGTGCCCTTCACTTTCGCCAGGCAGCTGGCATGGAAGGTCTGCTCACTCAGTGTCCCCAAAGCAGCTTTGAGCCACCGTGTATGACTCCGAACCAGCATGCGATGGTGATGCCATCAGCTTGCATGGAGCGCCTCAAAGGAGGTGAGCGCGGCCGGGATGCACACATCAAATCAAGCCAAGAAAGAGGCCACTGAGCGCACGCCATTGAAAACGGTCATCGGTCATGAGCAACACCGCTGGGCCCTTCGGACTTCCAGCCTGGTTAGTAAAGAGCAAAAAGTGAACCGACACCTTCCTGGTGTCTGCTGTCGAGATGCTGCAGCATGACCCTGGAAGGATATCTGGAATGGAGCCTTTGTCAGCTGCTGTGCCCAGCAAACAACCCAAGTCCGTGGAGGTCTTGCTGTGTCAAGGTAGCCGATGGCAAATGATATTATGTCAAGCGCTTGGCCACAGGCCCCCTCAGCTGCAAAAGCTGGCTTCGCTGTCCGTCAAGGAGGGGATATAGAGCTAAGTTTGCAGTGACTCTGAGTTTTCGGAGCACTGTCTGGCAGGCGAAAATGACCTAGGGAATGCCAAAAGGAATGAGGAGCTGACGTATTGGTCAAGGAGCCGCGTCATTCTGAAAGGTTGTGCCAGTGGCATCTGCTTGTTGAAAGCAACTCTCAAGGGAGATAGAGTAGCCGAACGGCTTGCGGAGGTACATTGTGTGCTCTGTTCACTGCAGAATGCCCAGGGGTCCAAGAAGATGGGGTCGGGGTGCACGGGCACGAAGGTCTGGGCTGACGATGAGGCAGCTGTGGTTGAATTCGAGCCCGATGTGTTGCAGAGATTCGAGGAAGGGAGGAAGTGGAGAAGTTGCTTGGCTCCACCCCTTGAAGCAGAGCATAATGCCGTTGAGATACAGAAGGAGCCAAAGAAGCACAAACAAGAGTTGGTGACCTTGGCTTTCTCAATCTGAATGATCTGTCCAAGGTACGGGCAAAGAGGTGAGTAGAGTGGCTACCACCCTGGGGTGTCCCGGAGGAGGGCTGCAGACCCAGCAAAGAGAAGAGCACGCGTTGTTGAAGAAGAAGCTGTAGAAAACGTTCTGCTACAAATGAGGCTGCAATGGGAGTTGACTGGCATATTTCTATATGACATGTGCAAATCTGTCCGTGTCCTTGTCAATAAATGTAGAATTTGTTGACAAGTTTGTTCCTGAGGACTATATAGACATGCACACAAATGACTTCTTTTCTGTATTTTTTCTTTTGGGGAGGTCTGGTCTGCGCGTCCATACAGTAGTACAGTGCGCCGTCGCTTCTTTCAAGTTCCTTTGCATACAAATCCCACAACGTAGTCCAATGACAAATCCTATGTAGTCAGTGAACCTTGCACCGCTTTTCGTCAGAGTGCGCGGATCGTGGCCTTGTCCACCTGGTTGGCCTCGTCTCCCTCCGTCTTGAGGTAGGTTCGTCGAACGCCTGCAATTACCACAAACACATATGTCTCCTTCCGATGTCGCCTTTCAACTCATGCAGGTGCCCCAAGAAAACAAGCCGCTTGAGTAGGTGCCCCAAGAATCCTCTCCCGAGAGAGGCGCACCCATTCCCTCCATAAGTCCGAGGGACCATCAGAGCGCTGCATGGTGCTCTGCAGCAAGGAGAGGGACTGAGATTCAGCTGTAAAGAATCCAAAATCAAGCGAGCTAGTAATTGCTACAGAGTGTGTGGAGAGTGCCATGTAAAAGGTGCCGTATCATATCAAAGCGGGTTCAAGAGTTCAGCAACCACACGGAGCGGAAAACAATGGCTCTGTCATTTAGGCAAGTGGCACACTCCTTGTCATTCTCGACCGCGCTCTCTGCAAACTCCTGTTGGCCCAAAGGACGGCAAATGGCTTACTGCAGCTATATAACTGCTCAGCCCTTCAGCTGTCTTGCATCTTCTCTTTTAACTGTAATCGGTCTCTTTGGGCACCTCGATTGCCACACCCATGGCCAAAACCTCAGTAGCTGGAGAGAAACAAACAACGCAAACAAGCTGTGAAAGCGAAGCAAGTTGTACATTCAAGAAACTGGCAAGCACGGATGCTTGTCGCACATAATCCTCATCTCTTTGCACTGGCCACGTGCCGTTCTTTTCGTCAATACAAATAACGTCAAACGCCCGCGTTCCATATCTAGCAAATGCCTCAAGTCAATCGACGCATGCAGTGCATAGTGGTGTTGCACTCAGGACCCTGGCCAGCATCAAAACACGGATGGTCATTCGGTCAGCGGCTCCTTTAGTAAGTACCTAAGTCATCTCGGCAGATTTGCATCCAGAGCAGACACCTACGCCTACTCCCGCTCGCGCACCCTTCATGCAAAGGATCTGCTCAACTTGTCACATGTCTGGGGCCCAAACGAGTCCGATGCAAATATTGACTCAGAAGAACTCGAAAAAACAGTTGAGCCAAATGGTGTCGGAGTGTGTTGAAGTTGTAGAAATGACATCCGATCTGCTCCCACATTAGTTTAATTCCGCTGGACTTGATTGAAATGCCAACGGTGTGCTCGCCTGAAGCTGTGTATCAGGCAGTGAGCTTTGAGCAAGATTCCATCCAAAACCTTGGTTTTTCAAACACTTGCATATGAGCAAGGGAAGACTAAACATGACGTGTCACGTGAAAAACCACACATGACCTGCAAAGCGCACGCTCTGGGGAAACCAAACCTGCTGGTTTTGATGAAATCGGAGGTCCAAAGCCTGGAAGCAAGCAAGGGCTACAGTGAAAAGAACATTTTGCGAAGGTCACAGTTCCCATTCTGAGGAAAAACGAAAGTGTCAGCAAAGTGTGCTATTCGAAGACAACGGTTGATTATGCTTCATAGCAAAGTTAGGACACCTCTTTGCTAAGCAGTACTGTAAATGTCAACATTTTGTGAATGTAATTTGAAGCAATGTCTTACTCTGTGCAGAAAGGTTTCACAATCACTGGAGAAGGGAGGGCCGCATGAAAAGTCGGAACATGTGTGGGCGTGAGCGTGAGCCTACTTCACACACCCGCATCAGGCAGCAAACTGGACCAATCGGCCAAAAGATGCGCACACGTCTACCGCTTATATATGTGGTACATTTTTACCTACTCACTGGCGCGATGGGCGAGGTATATATATATATAATCAGTTATAATTGGTTGCCTCTAGCACGTAGGATTGTACAGAGAACGCTTGAGGTAGCCCCTTTGAAGGGCTACCTCTTCATGAGTTGCACGACAAAAAATAAGAGTGTAGTTGTATACAACGTGGCCAACACAAACTATCCCCGGCAATCTCCCAGGTGCTCACGTTTGTATCAAGTAGGTTTCAAGAGGCGCAACTGTCAATTGGTATATTACAAAAGGCGGAGCATCTTGACGAAAACACTCGGTGAAAGGCTACAGGGGAACAAACATCCAACACCGGGTGCCCTACCAGCGGCTGCGGCACCAGCTCCCAATCTCCTCCAGATGATCTCCTTGGTTCGGCTGCTGTTCCAAAGCCAACCGACTCCTTTCTTGCTCAAGACTCAAAACTGTCAATTTTCGGGTGTGCTGACAATAAGGACTTATCCTAAGTTCGCACTGATCTTCGCAACAAGAACAAATCGTGCTACATTCAACACATCCAATGAGGGCCTCACACCTCCTGCCCCAGTTGATCAGCCTGCTCCTGGCCTCAGCTCTAAAGCCCTTAACGGCTGGAAACTGAGCTGGGGCCCTTGCATCCTTCTATCCGCTGCTGGCAACACCAAGATTGCAACTCATCCCTGCCCTTGCAGAATCTGGCCTGTAGCTAAAATAGATAGATGCAACTGTGCCTTGCTCATGTAGCTGCAAACATTCCCTGTCTGTGGCAGGGCCATTTTCCCGCATCTCTCTTCAAGCCGGCTGCGACAGGTGCATTCTGAGACTCCAGACTCAATCTTCAGAACCTACCGTGAGATATGGATCAAGTTTCCCCGACCCTGCAACATTGACCGTTTGAATACTGCAGTGCGTCGATGGAATACCACGTGTTGCTCACGTCGCACCAAAAGGAGGAGAAAGGAAACAAAGACCCTCAAATCAAAACAAGTTCAAATCAAATCAACCGTTCAATCCGGCCATAAAGCCCGGCCTGTGCACCTTGAGCCACCAACGCCGCCGCAGAGAAGGGCCCTGCCGGCAGTAAGCAAGCGTCCACCTTGACAGCCGACAACCCCACAGCCCATGGACAAACATTGAAGCAGCGCTAGTGGCAATGAAATCAGCTCCTGGCAATGTAGACCTCAAAGCGCTTCACATTCCACAGAAGGAGGGTTCTTGAAGGATCACGGTGTGAGGCGCTGGCTCCATTCAGATTAGGGCCTGACCATTGAAAATCAATCTTGGATGTGTTTAAATGGACTGACTTCAGCTGCAATTCTGTTGCTGTCCTTTAACAACAGCAAGAACACAAACACAACGACAGCAACAACAACGACAACGACAGGGTACAAACAAAAACTGCAGCCCCCCAACCTTCTAGAAACACAAGCTGCAGCCCCAAGTTTGTTTTTTGAACCCTCCTCCAAAACAAAAAGCCAGCACTGCGCATTAGCACCTAGTACCTATACTAGCACTAGTACCAGCACTCGTGGTAGAGTAGCAATAGCGGTAGCGGTAGGCAACACCAGCAGCCGCAGTGGTAGAAATAGCAACAATAAAAACAATACTAGTAGGAGTACGAGCAGGACTAGGAGTAGAAGTAGTAGAACAGGTGGTAGTAGTAGTAGTAGCAGCAGTAGTAGTAGTAGTAGTGGTAGGTAGTAGGTATTCCTTAGTAAGTATTACTTAGTAGGTATTACTTAGTGGGTAGTGGGTAGGTGGGTAGTAGGTAGTAGGTAGCGGTGGTAGTGGTGGTGGTAGTAGTAGTAGTAGTAGTAGGAGTAGTAGAGCTACTAGTAGCAGAGTTAGTAGTAGCAGAACAAAAAAGTAGTAGAGTTAGTAGTAGTAAGAGTTTGTAGTAGTAGAGTTAGTAGCAGTGTAGAGTTAGTAGTGGTAGAGTTAGTAGTGGTAGTAGTAGTAGTCGTCGTCGTAGTAGTGGTAGTAGTAGTAGTAGGAGGAGGAGGAGGAGGAATAGAGAAGCACAGGTAGCAGCACAAATAGTAGTAAAGGTGGTAGTATGGGTAGTAGCACAGGCAGTAGAATAGGTAGTAGCATCGGTAAAAGAATAGGTAGTTGTATAGGTCGTAGTATAGGTAGCGGAATGGGTAGTAGTACAGGTAGTAGGTAGTAGTAGTTGTAGAAGTAGTAGTATTAGTAGTAGCAAAAGTGTATTGGTATTAGTGTTAGAAGTAGTAGTAGTAGTAGTAGTAGTAGTAGTAGCTGTAGTGGTATAGAAGTAGTAATAGTTTTTGTAGTAGTAGTAGTAGTAGTAATAGTAGTAGTAGTAGTTAGTAGTAGGTAGTAGTAGTAGTTAGTAGTAGTTAGTAGTTAGTTAGTAGTAGTTAGTAGTAGTTACTAGTAGTTACTAGTAGTTACTAGTAGTTAGTAGTAGTAAGTAGTAGTAAGTAGTAGTAAGTAGTAGTAGTA